GTCTTTCTTCTCCCAGCTGGCCTGCTGTGGGGCCCCCTTTGCCTCTGCTTGGAAGAATGGAAACAGCTCCAGGCATTGTCCCTACCCGGACTGCACCTACAGGGAGCTCTGGATTTCTTCAACACTGCTGAGCTAGGCTCATGTCAACCTCTGCCCCAACTCCTCACATCCCATGCCACTGATGCATTTCCCAGCCTGGCTCTAAAAGGCCCCTCCTCTCTATACCTAGCTACTCTGCAATTCCTGACCTCTCTACAGCCATGCTCCCCACAAGCACTCTCAAATCCCTCACCAGGGGTGCGCCCCTCCCCCTGTGGCATTGGGCACGAATGGCTTTTCCTCTAGCATCTACATGGCATAGGTGCTCTGGCTCTGCCCACAACCCCCTGGCATTCTAGTATTCTCTTCCCATGCAGAATCAGGGAGTCTAGAACCAAGAGATGCCTGAAGGCCATGAACACTCCTCAATGAAACATCGCCAAAATAGTGCTGTTCTTGTTCCCACACCCAAGAAGCCCTGAAAGTGGAGGCCAGATCGGGTGTCACAGGATTATCCCCCAATACCTTGCTTGCCTTCCAGCTCCAACTCTTCTACCTGGATGTCAAAAGACAGGCTTGAATGGTGTCCCACAAAGCCTTGCCTTCAAAGGCTATTATCTGGGGTGCCTATGCTGCATGGTATGTGTTTTGTGGAAAGAGAATTTCCCAACTTCAAGTAAAATGTAAAAGGAATCTGTGACTCCCTTCAAATGTTGAAACATACCACATCTGGACACACACACACACACACACCTCGCCCTATCCTTAGCTTCCCTCAGTGAGAATAGCCAACTGTACTCACTTATAAATAGAAATCCTCTCTGGACAAGTATCTGGAGTGACAGGACAGGTCCAGAGACTGAGTAGCAAGCAGAATTGTTTCCCACTCTGTCTTCTCTGGACCTATACAGCCATCTACCCCAGACCTCTTCTCTCTGCTCCCTCAGCCCTACCTGCTGTCACCTTGCTTCTAGAACATGAGCTTAGTACCTGTACCTCCCTGTCATTTAGACCCTAGAAGGGGATGCTTAGGAAACACCTTTGTCCCCAAGAACCATCCCCTGGAGGGCTCAATGTAGCCCAGGACAGAGACCAGGACCACTCCCTTTCAGAGAGGTTCTAGGATGGCCCCCAGCCTACCTCTCAAATCTGTCCCTATACCAAACAGAAACCTGACAGCCATCCTTGCTACCCCCTGCCCCCTACTCCCACACACAAGGTCTGAGTCCTGCAGTTCAGCTCTCTCCTCAGTCCCTCCTGCCTAGACCACCACAGTAGCCTTCTTCTTGGCTTCCTGCCTCCTTTCTCTCCTCCAACCTTTCCTCTCTTACTCTACGTGGCTTCCAAAAGACTTCTGATAAAACACAATCTGATCACATCACTGATCTGCTTGACTTTGTGGGAAATCTATCACCTTCAGGATAAAATCAAAACTCCTTCCTATGCCTCTCAGGACCTGCCCTTGGGTTTTGTTGGGTTTCTGGTTTTGTTTGGTTTGGTTTCAATGTCCTGTCTTGTCATTGATCCATTCCAGCCCCTCCTCCACCCCCCACAGTGCCCCTCTCATCCGAAGGCCTAGTTTCAGTGTCTGGTGCCTCTGGCCCCACGCCTTCCTGTGCCCTTTGCTGGCTCCATTCTACTGGTCCTTCAAACTCAGCTCAGAGTGCATCTCTCTCAACTCCACGTTTAGTGACATATTGGTAGCTTGAAATTGGCTATGGCAAGCGCATTTTCACCACAGAAATTGGCAAATACTACAAATCAGGGTGTGTTTGGGGTTTATTTTGAGTGTTGGATCTTAAATATGTATCAGCACACCAGTGCTTAGGTCAGCTCTGATGCATAGGATACCAGTGTGGGATGGATGGATGGATAGATGGTTGGATGGATGATGGCTAGATTACTCAAGGTCTGGGCTCCGTGTACTTTGCTTTGGCAGCTGTTGCATACATTGATACTCATCCTACAGCAGCTCATACACTTCCTGAATTCAGTCATTCCCTGCCCCCTCCTCATGTCCTTTGGGATCCTTGTCCCTCTCACCAGCTCCTCTGGGCATATCAATCCTGCCAGGTCTCCGGAGAGCATGAGACCACCATTGGGATACCATTTGGTCATAGGTGGGTAGAGAGGGCCAGGGGCAGTGGGTGGCATATCATCCAGGCAGGAAAAAATTAATGACAGGCAGTGGGAGAAAACAGGACCTGGGGAAGGATAAAAGGGCTGGGGCTCAGCCTGCAGGGACACCCAGTAGCCCCCTCTGCAGTGACCCCCAATCTGATCAATACCAGAATCGATGGACTCAAATACCTCATTACGAGAACAGCAGGGAAAACAGGAGCCCCTGGCAGCGGCCTTGATTAGCCTGTCCCCCTCCTCCCTTACTGGCTGGCTTAGCTCTCTCTCCTCAAGGCTCCACCTCTCCTGCAGTTGGCTCGATCTCAGCTCAGGTCTCCCCCCTCCCTGTCCTCATTTGCATCTGGGTCTCTCAGTCTCCCCCTGTGTCTCAGGGCCTCCATCTGTCTCTGTCTCCTCCCTGCTCAGTTTCTGTCTCTCCCTCCACATCTCAGGCTCTCTTGTCTCTGGGTGTCTCTCTTCTTTGCCACTTCCCCCCCCCCGGGTCTCCATCTCACGTTCTGGATCTGTTTCTTTCCTGTCTTTCCCGGTGCCCCCCCCCCCCCGCCCCCATCTGTATCCCTGTCTCTCAGCCCTGCACGTCTCCCTGCTCCCTTCCTTGGCACCCCCTCCAACCCGCTCAGGGACCCAGATGGCGGGATGTTCACGCCGCAGTGCCTGCAAGCACGGGGCCATGGTAGCTTCTGGGGCTTCTTGCCACCCCCCCCCCCGCCCTGAGCCTGCTGGGCAGCAGTCAGTCAGCTGCAGCTCAGAACTCCTACTCACCCCCATGGGGCCCTCAGCAAGGAGGCACTGGGACAAACTCCTCCTAGAGCAGACAGTGCCATCCCTGAGTGAATCCTCGCTGGGACTGAGGGAGCCAGGGCTATGGTCCCCCTTTGCCTCAGGACCTTGAGTGATAAAATCCTAGAAGCACTTGGACCAATGGCTTTTATTTCCTCTCCAAAGGGGTGTCCCTCTTGACATCTCACTGAAAGCCCTCTTGCTGTGGCTTCATCTGCCCCGGGTCTATGTGACTCAGCTTCTTCCCAGTGCCACCAAAGCCTTCACCAGCAGCATCTGGCTAGGCAGGGACTGCCGGGTAGAGCCCCCAAAAGAGAGAAGAAGGGCACTTAGAAGGCGCCCTCTTTGCGGAGGCTCATCTGACCACAGCCAGTGTTGAGTGAAGCAAAGGAGGTCATAGCTCAGGCTTGGGGAGCCAGGGTCTTAGAAGTTAAGGGCTGCTACCAGCTGGGTCCTGGGAGGAGAAATTCTGCCCTCATCCTCCCTCTGGTGCCTGGCAGAGTGGAGCACCTCTCCTGGGGAGCTGGCAGAGTCGGCAAGTGCATATATGCCCACACCCCACGCAGCCCAGACACAACACACCCACCTCGGTGCCATGCGCGCCCACCTGCTGGCACTGCAGCCGGTACTCCCCCCCCCCTTGCCTCCACACCTCGCTGCCATAGGGAGGGAACATGGCATTAGCTATCTGGTGCCAGCTATGGAGGTAAGAGGAAGAGGGGCCGGGCAATGCGCTGGTGATGAGGGAGAGATACATCTATCTAGACATGGGTGGGGGGGAGTCTCTCAGGAAAAGCACCATTGCCCACCACCTTTCTAGGTCAAAGGTCAGCAGGGTGGGGGTAAAGATCTTCTGAACGCCCTGAAAACAACAGTCATCTCACCATCTGCTCCAGCCCTAACTTGGACCAAAACCTCACCTCCTACCCTCTCTGCTTCAACCCAGACACTCCTTCTTTCCTGTATGTCTACACCTTTGTGCAAGTCCCACATATCACCAAGCCCCACCTGGACAAGAAGATGAGCCTCCCCTGTAATCCTCTTCATGTGTGCACATGTGGCTTGGTCCAGGCCTCCATGCCTCATCCCTTAACAAAGGATTCCAAACCGGGAAAGGTGGGGTTCTGGTGGCCAATCCTCTTCCCACTGCCCCAATTTAAGATAACCAGAAGATCATAACAGGCAAGAAGGGCACAGGAGGGCATGCCTGCTGGTCTCTCTCCTTGTGTAGCTCAGCGTGGGGTAGGGAGGGCCAATGGGGTCCCCCAGGCCACACTTTCTGTCTGCACAGATCAGAGAAGGAGAAGCGTCTCCTCCCCTCAGCCCAGATCCTGTAGCTTACAGCCATCGGCCCCACAGAGCAAGCCTGCTCCCTCTTCCACATGACAGCCCTTCAAATATTTGAAGACAGCTCATCCGTCCCTGCTGAGCCTCCTCTTCTCCTGACTAAACACCCTGCTTCTTAGAATGACTCCTCAAATACGCTAGTTTCAAGTCATCTCACCATGCCGGGCGCTCTCATCCTTCCAGAGCTGTCCCGGTTCACAGCCACGCTCCAACCTGAGGCCAGGCAGAAGAACTGCCTGTGTCCTAAACCCCAGCATCTCCCCATCGCAGCCTCTGACTTCCTCCGCCCTCCACTCCCACCAGCATAGCCATTCTACGTTGGCAATCACTTCTACTTTTAGAGCCAGGCAAATGCTAGAGACCCACTACATCTCCCCTATCCATAATGCTTTCTCCAAAGATCCAAATCCTTTCCAGTGACCTCTCTCCATGGCTGGAGTTTATCACCTGTCCACATGAAGCCTGCCTCCTCTGAGAAGCCTTCCCAAATAGAACATGCTTGCCCCCCCCCCCCCCGAGGCAAACCTCCATACTCAAACTACACAACGCTGATTGTGGTCACTCTATAGAGTCTATGCATCTCCCAGTCCTTCATCCCACACATGCACACCAGCAGCCTAGAGAAGAAAAGCCCAGAAGGTGGCCGGGAGGGAGAGGTTCCCCCCATGAGAGCCAGCTTGGACCCATGTTCCTACCTGCTCGTGGTACTCGATGCCCATGCTGAGGGTATTGACCAGGATAGCGATCATGATTCCCCGGCCGAAGTATTTGCTATCCACAATCTTTCGGAAAGTGTCACAGATCAGCCTCCAGAAGACCAACACAGGGCTGGGCTCTGTGTCTGGACACAGGCTCCGCCGTCGTCGACTGTGAGGGTCACGGAGGTCACTGTGCTGTGTATCCTGTGTAAACTCGTAAACAGCTTCGCTGTCTGAGTCAGGCAGCTCGTGGTCGGCGGGCTCCAGTTCTCCTGTGCCCACTCGGGCACAATAGGGGCAGCTGTCTGGGCCACAGGCTCCACTATCTGCCTTGGAACAGGGACTGGAGACCTTGCAGGAGCTGTGGCAGGCACCTGTAACAGGAGAATGGGGGATCAGAGGCTCTCTTGACTGGGGCTCCCTTGCCCTTGGTAGTGCTGTGTGTGTGTGTGGGAGATGCACAGCATAACAGGAGAGATGTGGGGTAGTTACAAGGTTGGGCTTGCTAGTCAGTGAGCCAGGAATGCTCCTGAATGACAAAGTACCCCAAATGTCAAGAGCCACTGATAGTCATGGCTGAGTATCTTAAGAGTTCAGGCAGACAGGTGGCCTCCAGGTTCTCTGAGGTCCTGCACAACCCCTATGTCCTTCTCGAGTCCCTCTAGCCTTGGGCTAGAGGCCTGCCCACCTCTCTTCCCTAGAGAGGGAAGGCCTGTGTCAATATTGCTCTGAGTTGCATTTTGCAATGGATCCTTAAGCCCTCCCATTCCCCCACATGTGCATTTGTCCACTCCTCTCCATGCCAGACATGCATATACACACATGTACACTATATACACACACTCATGTACACACACTATTTGCACATCAGAAGATATACGCACACACCAAACACATGTTTACCCAAATGTATCAATACTACCCAATGTTGATGTCAGACCCACCCACACGTGTACATGCACACACAGACCAGAGAAGAACACCACAGCCATGAGCATGGGCATCGGACACATGCACTCACACACATACACACACTAGACCCCTTCCTTCATGCACGGAGACACATAAATGCACACCAGACTTACTTGTGCACATACACACACAGTGACCTGTCTGGAGACATCAATATCCGTTTAAATCCTGCTTTGATCACAGACTCTATGAGAGCTGAAAGGAACCTCAGAAGCCACTCAGGTAAAGCATGGATAGGGAGGCACCTGGCTCAGGGCCTGGTAAGCAAGGTGACATTTCCTTCTCCTGACTACATCTGAACATAGTACTGATGGTCCCCACCCCACCTCTTACACGGAAGGATGTAGAGGAATGTGATATGATGGCCATGTCCCATGGCTGGATAATGGAAGAATTACTAAGATCCACTTTGCATTGTGTGATAACACCTTCTGGTGTTATCATCTTCCAGAGACCACCTCACAAATATCCCAGTGTTCTCTACATGACATATCCTTCCTGAAACACAGGCTGGATCTGGGAGGCTGGGTCTGGGAGGAAAGCCAGCCCTGTCTAGGGACCCTCCTACAAGCAATAAGTGTCTCATTCTTCAGTAACATGGACGATCTGCCCATTGGACCAGCAGCTCCAAGCACTTGTCACTCTAGTCTCAGGCCTCTCTGCAAGGGAGGGAATAAGAATCAATTTATGCTGGGTGCCAGTGGCTCACACCTGTAATCCTAGCTACTCAGGAGGCTGAGATCTGAGGATCGTGGTTCAAAGCCAGTCTGGGCAGGAAGGTCCATGGGACTCTTATCTCCAATTGACCACCAGAAAACCAGAAGTGGAGCTGTGGCTCAAAGTGTTAGAGCACTAGCCTTGAACAAAAAAAGGCTCAGGAACAGTACCCAGGCCCTGAGTTCAAGCCCCAGGACCAATAAAAAAGAAATCAATGTATAATAATCTCCTTGGTATGGGGCATCATGTTGCCACAATTACACGCCATTTCCCCTATACAACCAAGAATAGAAAGCAGGCTTCAGAGTCGGATGGCCCTGAGGCCATCCCTCACCAAAAAGGACAATCTTACAAATCAGGTAAGACCTTCAAACCTCCTTTTTCCCCATGTGTACGACAGAGATGCTAGGCAAGCTTATCATCTGAGCTCTCAGAGGGTTCAAAGGGATCTTTCTTACCTATGTTAGGCACACCAGTGAAAAACAGTGGTTAGATATTAGCACAAACAGCAGAGAGCAGAGTGCATAGCAGATACACATTACATGACAGTTATTATTACAATGTAGGACTCACAATTCCCGTTTTAACAGATGAGAAAATTAGAACTCAAAGAAGTAGTAGGATTGGTTGAAAGTGCCACAGTTACAAAAGGCAGAATGGGGATCTGAACCCTGGTCCCTCTGACTCCAGTCCTCTAGTCCTCTCTGGGATACCACCCAGCCCACCCCTCCCCCACGCCCACCCATGCAACTGAGGGACACCAACCCATATCCCTGCTTGGTGTTCTTACCTGTACTCTGTGTCTCCAGCAGCTTATGCATGGAGCTGTAGGGCCCAGGTGGGATGTTGAGGCTGGTGAGTATGGGGGGCCCAGAGCTGGGGGCCACTTCAACTAGCGCCTTCTCCTTCAACATCTCTGGTGGAGAGCTGGTGTGCACAGTAGGGTACACTTTCCCACTACCCACAGTCCTGCCAGACGCCTCAGATGGGGACCGGGGAGGGGGCGCCTGGCAACGGACTGGCTCCAAGTGGCAGTCGGCATGATAGAAGCTGTGCACAGACTCGGCACCCCCTGGAGGCCCCCCAGAGAGGGTGGGTGTCGAAGGTGGTGGCAGCATGAGCCGGCGGGACCCACTGGCATCCCTATCTTTGATCTCCGGGCTGGCCCGTGGGGCCCTGAGCGTTCCATTGCCCAGGTGGTAATGGTGATGGTGATGGTGGTGGTGGTGGACCAGGTGGTGGACGGACAGGCGGCGGTGTGAGCGAGAGCAGGTGCCACTGGGCTGGGGCTCCTGGCCCCCGAGGGCTGCTGGGCTGCTCAGTAACCCAGCCCGCACGCCTGCAGCCCGAGAGACCTGGGCCAGCCTGCGAGCTGCCTTGCGAAGGATGTACACCAGGTACTTCAGCAACTCCTCATAGCAGCTGCCGGGCTCAGAGAAGCTAGCCAGAGTGCTGGCGTTGGACAGGAATCGCACGCGCTGCTCCCGCATTAGCTGGCTCTCCCGTTGCTTGGTCTCTGAGAACTGCGTGGCAATCACCACCAGGCACAGGTTGATCATGAAGAAAGAGCCCACCTGTAGGGGTGGGGACAGGGAGAGGAGATGTCCTGAAGAAAAGCAAATCTCCATGTCAGCTGCCACAGACAGAGAACTTACTGCATGCTAGGCGCTGGGCTAATGTTTTTTCCCATCACTATCTCATTTTATTCACATGACAGGCTTGAGAGAGAACGCTCTTGTAATTGTTGTCCCAACAGTAAGGAAGCTGAGGCTCGGAGAGGGCAAGGAATTTTCCCAAGATCACTCAGCTAATGCAATGCAAGGCTAAAACTGGAACCAGGCCCTATAAAACTCTTTAAGGTATGGCCATTGATCATCATGGTATTCTACAAGGTTGCCTTTCAACTCCCTGCACTCATGGAGACCCTAAACACACCTCCCCTGCTCCTACCAGGAGTAGAGAATACTGTGGAAGTGAACGCTCAATTAAGGACATATAGCCTTAATAGCAGATTGTGCTTTTGAGACTTGTTTATAAGCCTCCAGTCTGTAGTTCCAACATTGGCTTCATGATAAGACCCTTAACCACTGGACCTCAATATCCTCATCTGAAAGCACAGACCCTACAGGCCAGTCAAATGGCCCATTTTGACTTTCCCTTAATCCCCTAGAACCTATCTCCATGCCTCAGTTTCTCCAGGACCTGGGGCTAAAAAAAGAAAATTAGTTGGATAACAATCCCCAATGATGGAAATGAATATTTATGGTGACAAAGCAGAATTTTTTTTTTCTAGACCGTGTCCTAGTAATTATGATAATTAGCTTCACTAGTGTGGTGCCAGAGAGTTGTTTGGGAGGAATTTTCAGGGGGTGTGTGGGAAGGTGGAAATGAGGCCCCTTCCTTCTCTGTCTGTTCCCCCTCCCCAACCAAGCCTGAAGGAGCAACGATTTGGAGAACGCATTCCCTGCGGCACCCATCTTGCCCTCTAAGGTGATGGTAAGGGACTGGGACACATTTCACCCAGGCTTTACCTGGGTACCCGTGTGGCCCTGGCCACTCTTACACCAGGGAAAGTTACGGGGCCAGGAAAGAGTGGTTTGGGGACCTGCCGGTCCCCAGAGCCTACCCTCTGTCTCACCCTGCCAACTCTCTGGCATCTGTCCCAGGTCCTGAGTAGATCTTAATCCCTTTCTTAATCTCCTTTTCTCAGATCTGTCCCTCTGCGGCTCTGTCATTGGCCTCGTGGTGACAGGGGAAAAGTGCTAGATTTAGACTTGGTAGCTTTGGTTGCCTTCGCAGCTCCAGCCCTGTTCAATGTGACCTTGGCTCAGTGATCAGCCGTCTCATTTAGGAGCTAGGGGCCACCATTCTGCAGTGGCCACCTCACAGGTGCCTGTGAGGATCCTAGGAGCAGCAGATGTTTCAGCACACATCCACGGCGTCTTCCCTACTCAGCAAGACTAATCCACAGCTTAGGCAAAGCACATAGTGAGATCAGATAAATGAGAAAAATGTCAGTTAAATGAAGGTGATCACAAGATCATGATGAGGATTAAATATCCAGCATGTAAGAAGTCCTGAGAGCGAGGGGCTGGCACACAGTAAGTGCTCAGTAAACATCAGCTATAAGTGGTAGCCATGAAATTATTGTCTAGGGATGATGGTGATTTAACTTATTTGCTCTTTTGCCTATTTTCTGCCTTTGTAAAGTCTTGGAATTTCCAGCTGGAAGGAATAAGGGATCATGCAATGTTTCTCAACACTGGAAATCAGGGGTTGTTTGCAAACATTTCAGGATGTTTAGCATCTTTCCCATCCTCACAATAGAATGTGAATGGTGTACCCTTAGTCCTTGTGAAAAACAGAATCATGCATGCAACTTCCAAATGACCCTGGAGCGTCAGGGATGGGGGTGAGGGGGAACAGAGCCTGCTGAGTTGAGAACCATCTACATTACTCATGAAGAATCAGGGACCCCGAGCAGGATGAGAGGCAAGTCTTCGGGGGAACATTTTGCCCAAGGTCCTATTAGCAGTAAGTGGTAATCAAGGTTTTTGATATTTCATTGTTTTTCTATCAGTTGCGGGGCCTGAACTCATAGCCTGGGTACTGTCCCTGAGTATTGTTTTTTTCATTCAAAGCTAGTGCTCTACCACTTTGAGCCACAGCACCAATTCCAGTTTTCTGGGGGTTAATTGGAGATAAGGGTCTCACGGACTTTCCTGCCCAGGCTGGCTTTGAACCACAATCCTCAGATCTCAGCCTCCTGAGTGGCTAGGATTATAGGTGTGAGACATCAGTGTCCAACTAGAGTCATGTGTTGACCTTGGGATTCCTCTTGACCCTCACCTAAGGTCCTTCTCACGATGTGACAGATGCTTTCTCTAAGGGATTTGTCCTGAGAGCTAAGAATCTCAAATAAAGCAAGCCTTCCCCTATCCTCAGTCACTAGCCATATCCCAGTTTCCTCCATCCCCATGGAGGGTGAGGAGGAGGAGTCACTCACGATGATGAGGAGGATGAAGTAGATGAAGTTGTAGAAGGAGTGAGCATCCATCACAAAGTACATGATGTCGACCCAGCCCTCCAGCGTGATGACCTGGGGAGGTGGAGAAGGACAGGCTGACACTGAGCTCATCAAAGCCTCTTCCAGTTTCCTCCAGGGCCCTGACCACTCCCACCCTACCCCAAACACGAGCATGACCACTCTCGGGGGGAGGGGGGGGCGCGCGCTAGGCCCAAGCTGCCCCACCTGGAAGATAGCGATCCAGGCATAGCCAATGTTGTCGAAATTGATGGCGCCCTTGAAGGGGTTGTGCTCGCCTGCAGAGCAGTTGGTGTAGTACTGGTTCCAGTTGACACAGGTGGTATTGCTGGAGCTGTTGTAAGCGTTGTAGTCTAAACCACAGGGCGGGCCGCCGCCACCCTCCCCTCGCAGTGTGGGCACACTCCTGCAGGACCGCATGCCGTTCTCCCGTGGCTGGGAGCAGATGAAGGGGCTCTCGTCCTCGTTCTCTGTCTGGTAATAGCGCTCCAGGTCCACGCTCAGGGGTCTGAAGGATGAGATGGTATGGGTACACTGAGGACTATAGGGAGGCAGGTCAGACCTGAGGGTGGGAAAGAAGCCTGGGCCGGGCAAGGGGTGTGGATATGAATGGGGGTCACTGAGAACAGGAGGGCCAAGTTAGAGTCACATTCTAGAGCAATGGTTTCAAACTTTGCTGTCCTTTAGAGTTGTTTATTTCCCTGTAACCAAGCTATACCCAAAAACTTAATGTAATCAGAACTACTGGAGGGACTGACCTTCTAAGCATCAGCAACTTTAAAATCTCTCCAGGTAATTCCAATAGGTAGCCAAGTTCAAGGACCAGATACGTTTCAGATACAAGCACAGGTATGTCCGTGGCTACAGGAAGCTAGGGACTAGGGGAGATCTCAGCCCCACAGGCCACCCCCAGGTCACCCACTCTCCACTCACAGGCTGAAATTCTCAGGGAGGAAGCATCGGTTCCGTAGCAGCCCTGCCCACAGCTGGACACCAACGATGCCAAAGATGAAGAAGACGAAGAAGCAGAGTAGCAGGACATTGCCCAGCATGGGTAGTGTGTCTAGCAGCAAGGTGACCAAGATACGCATGCCTGTTGGGGCAGAAAACACACTGGGGACACAGGGCTGGCCAGGCTAAACTGGCTTCCATGCATCTGGCTGTATTCCCAGAGGGGTCCCACTGGGAACCTCCAGGCCCAAGCTGGAGGGGAGACAAATGGGGATCTCTAACACGCATGCTTAGACAGCTCCAGGAGCCCCAGCACCTTTGACCCACACATAGTAATCTGTTCATGGTAACACCGATGAGTCAGAACTGAGGTTCCCAACACATTCTCATGCTCCTCACTCTCTCGGCATCACCGTGGGGTGATGATATCACCCCCAGTTTACAGATGAGAAGTCTGAGGCCCACAGGAGTGATGTGGCTTGCTCAGTATCAGAGATACTAAATGTAGGCGCTGGGACTTAAATTTAGGCTTTGTACTTCCAAATCTTGTGCGTGCACACACACCTCCCACTTCCTTCTCTCACCAGACACAGTCACCTGAACTTTCTACGCCATCACCACTGGGGTCATTGGGGAAACTGAGGCGGAGGACTCCAGTAGGGATATCAGCAAGGCAGAATTTCACATTGCGAGTCAGTTGCTCATCAGAGGCCAAAAATGCCCTCCACTTCATCAACTTTCTGAGCCCCTCAGCCCTGAAGTCAGGACGTATGAGGCATGTGACACTGTCCTCTCAGGAGTCCATCCTAGCGCTAATAGCCCTCTGCAGGGGCACAACTACTGCAACCCCTCTCCTGAAAATCCCTGTTAGGGATCCAGCCCTGTCCCCACTCCAGGTCTAGGACCCAGCAGCCCACATGGTGTGAACCAGCCACCAATCTTTTGTCAATGCCTTAGAAGGCAGATAGATCTCCAGTGGCTAGTTTTGAACCCCAAAGTGCTCCTTAGGGTCTCTGCCTTCTCCAGGACAGAGCTTTTAAGCAGCAGCAACAGCAGCTAATTAACTTTCTTGGTGGGGACCGCAGCCATGTTGCCTCCACCCCTCCTTTCACTCAGCCCTTCTCCCCCACTGCTCCTCCCATCCCCCTTCAGCTGCTCTGGGCTCCAACTGAGATCAATTCCTCAGGGTTTGCATTAAGGGAATTACACCAGTGGTTAGACAGAGGTCTATCAATCTGCCAGCCCGTCACCTGGGAGGGAGAGGAGGCAGGCATGCCCCTGTTCTGGAGCTCTGGTTAATACCAACTCACTTCAGCCCCCTCCCCACAGCAAACACACTGCTGCATCTCTCTCTCTCTCTCTCTCTCTCTCTCTCTCTCACACACACACACACACACACACACACACACACACACACAAAGGGGGCTGCTACTGCATCAGGCACAGAGCCCCACACATGCTCCTCCAAGCCCCACTCCCCAGACTGCATCTGGGACCATCTTCAGTGTGTGTAGGTAGGTTGGGGAGTTGCAAAGGGGGCCTGAGCAGGGGGGCGGGGCAGGACTTCGGGAAAACTAGAGCTGCCAAACCTTCCCTGGCTCCAGAAACCAATGCGGTTTAATTTAGATAATGGTCCCGGCAGTCACTGCAACGCAAGTTGGAAGTGGGGGAGGGGGAAGGGGCCGCAGCCACAGCGGGAGAGTGAGGCGTGGAGTGGCCTTCTCTGGAGAAAAGTCCTATTTAGTGTGGCCAGTGTGGTCTCACACAGGAGAACCAGTCTGTGGAAGAGACTGTTGTGCCCAGAAAAGACCATTAACACTTTAGGTCCCCTCCCCTCCCCCATCCCACCCACCCTATTCTCCTGGGTGTAAAATCTCTGAGATGTTTCTGAGATTCTGACCCAAAGCCAGATTGAAATGAGGAGGGTCTTCATCGTGACTACCCCGGTGCCACAGCCAAGGTGAGGGACTCCCTTTGGGTCCCTTCTGGGCTATTCTCTGCAGTGGCTCTGAGTGGTCAGATAATGACATGGTAGGTGGGGCAGGGGGAGCTGACGTTGCTACATTTCTTCTTAGGATTCTGTGTCTAAGGGCTGAGGGCCAAGGGGTCACTCACTGGGCACCCGGTTAATGGCCCGGAGTGGTCGCAGCACACGGACTGTCCTGACAGCTGAGAAGCTGACGTTCTGCAGGTCCAGTGAATACTCCAGCATCCTGTGAGGAGGGGTTGAATTTGAAGTCACCATGATGTTTAAAGAGAGAGAGAGAGAGAGAGAGCGCACCAATGAGGAATTCTGTGAAGAAGCAGGACAATCTGGTGCTCCTCCCTCTCTCCCGACTAAGGAACCCTGAGATCAGCTTTCCTCAAACAAGCAAGGATAACTCCCTCTCCCTCCCCCACTCCTCAAAGAGCAGAACCAGGAAGACCACAGGACTCAGGAGATAGGCCAGAACACGGCAGGCAGGCAGCCTCACTTGCTTGGCTCACGTGGACAGCCAGGGAAGAAATACAGCTATGACTGGGTTGGGGTGGCGCCAGGGCCCTGGAGAAAGTAGTGATCCAATCCCCTGCTTCCCACCCCCAGTCCAGGCCCTCACCCTGCAATGACAATGAAAAAGTCAAGCCGGTTCCAAGTGTCTCCCAGGTAACATTTCTTCCCGAAGATACCCAAGGCCACCATCTTCACCACCATTTCCACAGCGAAGAAGGCAAAGATGAAGTCATCAAAGGCCTAATGGAGGGACAAGAGTCTGCAGAAACTCAGAAGGGCAAGAGGACACACACACTCCTAACCACTTCTACCAGTTGAGTCAGGGCCTTTTGCAGAACAGATGTTGGGGATTAAGATCAGGAACTATAGCTGGATGCTAGTGACTCACACTTGTAATCCTAGCTACTCAAGAGGCTGAGATCTGAGGATCAGGGTTCAAAGCCAGCCTGGGCAGAAAAGTTCATGAGACTCTGATCTCCAATTTACCACCAGAAAATGTGATGTGGACTTGGGGCCCAAAGTGGTTAAATGCTACCCTTCAGCAAATAGAGCTCAGGGACAGCACCCAGGTCTTGAGTTCAAACCCCATGACTGACAAAATAAATAAAAAATATTTTTTAAAGATCAGGAACTAGTTAGAAGGCAGGGATTGAGAAGTTCTCCACTTGTGGCCAGTCTTGGGGAAAAAGTTAGCGAGACCTCAATCTCAACAAAGCTAGGCAGGGTGGCACAGGCATAGGCATGCAGTCCCAGCTATGCAGGAGGCATAGGTTAGGAAGGAACATTACAAGGCCAACTTGAGACTCTTATCTGAAAAATAGCCTAGAGCAAGAAAAAAAAAAGCTGGAGGTATGACTTGAATAGAAAAGCTCTTGCAAAAGAGCTGGGTGCTGATGGCTTATCTCTAGAATCCTAGCTACTCAAGAGGCTGAGATCTGAGGACTGCAATTTGAAACCAGCCTAGGTAGGAAGATCCCTGAGACTTTTACCTCCAGTTAACTACCAGAAAGCCAAGAGTAGGGTGGTGGCTCAAATGGTAGAGTGTCAGCCTTGAGCAAAAAGTTCAAAGTCATTATCCAGGCTCTGAGTTCAAGCCCTAAGACTGGCACAAACACACACACACACATACACACACACACACACACACACAAAGAATCAGGAGCTCCACTTCCCCATAATACATATATTGCCACTCACCTGCAGAATTCGGCACCTCTGGGAGTCACAGGCGATGTCCTCACATGGCCGGAACATGCCCAGGGTCACACAGTTGAGAAGAATGACCAACATGCTGATGCGCTCGAACCAAGTATCAAGACGTCAAGGAAACAGCTGGCCAGGACTAGAAATGAAAGTGTCCTACAATACCCTGCCCCGATGATACCTGCTATGTGTCAACCTCCCAGATTTGAGGGGAGGACCCTGGCTCACCTTGACCATCTCACTTCTGTGGACCTAACCTTGTCATCTGTAGCCAAGGTAGGAAAAAAGCCATAAATAATGTGGCTATTTACACAAGCCATTTGGGGAATGGAATTGATCATGCTGGTGGAAATGCCAGACACCATGAGTCTGCTGCCGAATCGCCTCCTCTTCTCTCCAGCTCGCAGGGTAGATGTGAGAAGCAAGTGAGACAATGTATGTGAATGTGTTACACAAACCTACAGTCGGATTATGCCTGCCTTACAGTTTACCACGCACTTTCACACACTTCTGACGCTCATGACAGCTCCACGAAACATCCAGGGTAGATTCTTTTGATTGGAAACTGAGGACCAGACAGCCAAAGTCATGTGCTGAAGCCATCCAATACAGAACAAGACTGAGGTCCCCACACTCTTGATCTACACAGCCATTTTCTCCATGCCATAGCTGCTTAGACAGGCAGGAAGGGGGCTGTCATCACTCTCCTGATACCAGGCCCACAGAAGGGCCCACAGCTGCATGCCCCTTGCTACAATACTGGAGCCTGAGGCTTTCTCTCCAACTCCCAGCCCTCTCAGCCTCTAGACACATTCCAATATGGAGACCCCTACCCCCAATTCCGCATCAGGCACCGTACCAGGCCCAGGCTACACAGTGGAGGACGCCTGATGCACAGCCATGTGGCTACCACATCGTCTTATGCCTTCCAGCCCAGACTCAAGCAACTAGGGCAGAAGGAGTCCCTTCTAACTTCTGAGACTTTCTGCATGGTGAGTTCAAGAGAATGTGTAAGCTGGTCCTGGACCTTAGAAGGTTCCAGGCCCTGGACTCAAGGAGTAGTTTTCTCATGGCAACTAGGAAGGCAGAAAGAGCAAAATGCCTAGGAGAAGAGTGGAGGATCAGGGCAGCCCACTCCCTCCACCACCAAGTAGATGTAAAAGAGCATGGGGACTCTTCAGGAATGAGGTGGCTTTTGCCAGGCAAGAAGGAACCAGCAGAGACATTCTAGGGCTCTAAAGGATCTGATTCCCAGTTGGTCCTAGACATACCCCATCTTTGTCCTGAATCCCAGACCATTCCTCCTCTCCAGAGGCTGGCAACTGACTCCCTCATCCACCTCAAAGCTTTCCTGCCCCCACACGTCACCTGGGCTTTTTACTCTCAGATACACAACCCTGTCACCATCTGTCTCTGCCACCCCAGGAGACCCAAGACAGTCATTTCCCTAACCTCCATTCCCTTACAAAAATGAGTAACACACACACACACACACTTTAGGGTTGGGGGTAAGTGGATGAGAGGGAAAATAAAGAGTGCTGTTTCCATGGAGCTGTTCCCGAGTGGAGCCAGAGCCCAGTGCATCTCTCTCCAGAATGGGGGGTCAGCCAGGGGTCACTCCAGAAAGAGGGGGACAGGGAGGGAGCCATACCGTGGAAAGGAAGAGACACAATTACCCTCAAGAATTTGTTTGATAGCCCTTTCCTCACTTCTGTAGGAGGAGAAGTCTTGGAGATGCACCAGTTCTTCTATGTGGGGGGCTCCCAGGACATCTGTCTGTTCACCTCTAAAGACAATGATTCTACCATGTTAAATCATCCATGCACTTGTCTCCCTTGTGGACTTCTGCTATATCTTTATATCTGCCTTCCCCAAACCCTTACTACCTCTGAGCTTAGTGTAGCACATGGCACAGATAGAAGACCAATGCATGGGGAGAATGAATAAATGAATGAATCGATGAATCAAAGACTTTGCCTATCTAGAAACCAGATATGTCTCCCATTCATGCAGCCCTGTCCTGTGTCCCTTAAGACTGATGAATTGATGATAACTATGGGGAGAAGGGCAGAGTTGACCCCACAGAATTGCCCTCCTTCTGTCCCTGCCTTACACAGGCTCAGATTGGAGCCTCTTTCAGCCAAAATCAGCTTCTAAAGAATTCCACATCCAGCTTAATCACAGAAGCCCCTTTTCAACAGCCCTTGGCAATACGGTCTGTTCCCATGTACATCCTGCCTGCTTTCTGCTCCCTCCTTCACTGTAGGTGAGCATAGATGGACAGGGAAGAGCTCAAGGCACAAACTTGGTACAATCTGAATAGAATAACTAATGGGGGGGGGGTCTTTTACCCTTCTCAGGGTGGAGCTTGTTTCCTTGGGAACATGGCAGTATGTCACTGTGTGATGTTCTTCAGTTGCCATAACAACAGGAGGATGTGTCACCAGGTGGTGTGGATTTGTTGCCATGGTAATTAAAGAGACCCCCCCCACACACACACACACATGCTCTCCCCTTACCCTGGCTGCTATCTTGTCCTCATGCAAGAAAGGGGAACCAGGGAGACCCACAGGTTATCAGGAGGGGGGAACCATGTGACAGATCCCCATGGTAACTGAGAGAACGGGGGACACTGGTTGCCATAGTGACTATGAGAGACCTGTGCAGTCACATGTCTACTGTTGCTATGGTGACTGTCCTGGTCTGGAGTGGATCCCAAAGGGTGGGGGCAGGAGAGGAGAGGATCTTTCTTCTCCCCACAACCCATCATCAAAACCAGAGAGAAAGAGAATGGCAGGAGAGGAACCCCACTTCCATCCCTCCTCCTCCTCTCCCTCCTGGAAGAGAAAAGTAGAGCATGTTATCTTTACAAATGAATCTCCTCCATGGGATTCTATCTAGATAGAGCCCTGTCTAGCCAGGAAGCTATGAGTGTAGGAGGCAGGCTGGGTACCTCCAAGGCCACGGGGCTCCGGGCATGAACTGAGAAGGCAAGCAGGCCCTCAGCTGCCTCATTCCCTCCAGCAGTCAGGGAAATCTGAGACTAAGGAACATTGAGGAGGAAATGGGCGGGGACCCAGGAATCCTGTCCTTCTAGTAAGAATTGGGGGGGGCGGTCCTTTCATCACCCATCCCACAGAGAGACTGGTATCTACCAAAGCCGCCACCCCTAGGGTGGAGGTGGGTACAAGGGCTCAGCCTAGTGGCTTGCACAGGGAGGTGGAAAGGGGGATTCCCCTAGCCAAGCCCCCCCTCCTCAGAGTCTGCTTTCCTGTGTACCCCCAGCTCTAGTGTGTGGGTGTGTGGGGAGAGGTTTCCAGCTGAACCGAAAACTAAAGCAGAAAGGCAGCCGGCCCCACCCAGAGACAGACATGAGACAGAGACACAAGAGAGACGGCCGCTGGAATCTTTGGGAGGGAAAATAGGCCAGAAATCTGATTCAAATTCTGTGACTTTGCATGTGTGTGTGCACATGCGTGTGTGTGCGTGTGTATGCATGTCTGCGTATGTGAGCAGTGTGTGTGTTGCCATTCTGGCTGAGGGAGGCAGGGTGGGGTGAGAGCTAGGGTAGAAGCAGGGGGGGGAGGGCTGGTGGAGGGGTAATCCCAGGAATGACTCCAATTGGCACTAGGGGTGATGGGGAGTCCCCCAGTAATGCGGTGAAGCAGAGTAGGCGGGAGGGAAAGTGTGTGTGTGTGTGTGTGTGTGTGTGTGTGTCCCAGAGAGAAGGAGGCCTGGAATGGAGGGAGTGCCAAGAGGTACTCTGCCACCCTATCCTGCTCGTCTCTGGGGTCCAGTCCTCCTCCCCAGAATTCTCTCTGGGAAGCCTCAGGTTTGGAAATGGGAGTAAAGAATTGGTGAGGAGACACAAATAAGCCCCCCTCCCACCCTACTTCCTCTGAGAATCCAATGGTGACTTCTAGGTAGGTGAGAAGAGTGGACAGACTTGGAGCACACACTGGGACAATGGCTAGGAAGACTCCAGAAATTCCTGGGGCCCCCTCCCTTCTAGAGGCACACACTCAGACACACACAGTGACGCACAGTCACACACTCACATTCACTTCTGGAAGCCATTAGGGTTCCTGCCGTTTAGGCCTCCCCCTTCTCCTCCCCCGACTCCTGGCAGGCTCCCCTTTCCCCCACTGGCCCCCCTTCCACTCCCCCCTTCTCTCTCAGCATCCCAAATGCCAGCCTGTGATTTCCAAATGAGAAAAAGCTGTGCTGGGCTCTGAGCTTGGAGAAACTCCTACACAAACTTCCAGATGTGACACAACAGCGGGAGAGGGAATGCTCAGGATCTCCTTCCCGGGAGGGGAAACGCACGCCCTCACACTTGAAGAAACACACACTGGAAAGGCCAACACTCCCCTCTAACCTGAGGGGAGGACCCACCCAGCTCTGAGCTGTCTGAGCCAGTACCCCTGCTTTCCCCTAATACTAAAACACACACTTCTGTGCCTCTCTTCCTTTAGCTGCCTCTTCACCCTCTCCAACACACACTCTCCTCTCCCTCTCTCTCTCTCTCTCTCTCTCTCTCTCCTTCTCTCTCTCTCATCTCTCTTTTCTTTCTACCAGCATCTATATCTCCTCTCTAGGAAACCTGGTGTGTTTTTTTTAAGGAGGCTATGAGGAAAGGGTCAAAAAGAAGGTGCCAAGAAAAGGCAAACTAGATTCAGTCTGAGTTGGTAGGGAGTGTCCTTATGTCCCTTAGGCTCCAAGATGCAGAGGAACCTCTAGGAGTCAAGGGAAGCTTCACCAACATCAAGAAGAGAGAAAGAGAAAGGCCAAGAGGCAGTTCAGAGCCCTCAGGCCGTAAAAACAGTTCCCCTTGTCACTGGGGTAGGATGGGAGCAATGAGGTGCACAGCTTACCTCAGACCACTCAGGCCCAGCTGCTAGTCCTGACCCAGTACTATGGGTGCCCCATACCCTAGACTACCACTCCCCGGAGTAAACCAGCTTCCACCTTGCTTCTCTCATTCCAACCCTGGCCACTTGCCCCATTCCTAGAGACATCTGGCTCTAGGCTCCCCACTACACCTGGAGATAAGGCAGGTGACAAGATGAAAGCCAAAAAGGAGGCTGAGGGAAAGGAGATAGAAACTGGTTGGTGGGTTTTCCCATTCAGTGGCAATGGGAGGGGCCTGGCTGTTTAAGGGACAGAGAGAAGGGTTATCCAGAGCTCATCCCATAGAGAAAGGGATGGGGGGGGGGGGGAGATTCACAGTTCAAGACTTGCCAATTCCACAAGCCCAGAGACCTCAGACTCTCACCTCTCTACAGTTCAGAAAGGAAGAAGGGGCTGGGAGTGGGGAAGAGAGGGTGATGCAGGAGAGGGTATGATGAGGGGAGTTTCCTAAAGACCCACAGTGTAAATAGAGCATAGGGGGTGAGGGGGGCCCAAGCTTATATCCTGCTTTGCGCACTAGAGGCAGCAGAGCTGCAGAGAGGGCCGCACCAAGTCCCCCCCTTCCCCAAAGCAGAGTCCTGTTTGGGCTTTCAGGGGGGCTGCAAGGGAGACTCCCCCACTCCCCCCAACACACACACACACACACACACACACGCACTCACGCTTGCAGTGAATCTCAGAGAATCTCTGAGCTTTCAGGAAGGAACTGGGAGAAGCTGTCATGACCTGGATGGCAAGACAACCAGCCCCCACCTTTCCCGGTAGCTGGTTCCAGCGCTTCGTCAAGCAGGCTTTTTGTTCCCAAGAGGACTGGAGTCTCCCTGACCACTCCAGACTAGGTAGAGGCAAAAGAACCAGACTAATTCTATCTACCTGGAATGTGGGGCATGTGTCCCCCAAACCTGTGCCCAGAGTAGGCACAGGGGTGTCAGATCTGAGTCTTCCTCAGAACACATGCTGGCTGTCTCACGATTCCCCCACCCCAATACTTTTCCAGGGCTGCGGTCTCCCATACCTGCTGTGCCATCAGCCAAAGCACTCTCATTTGTGAAAGGGGGGGGGGGTAACTTGGACCTGCTTCATCCCATCCCCCCACTTGCCAAAGCGCTGGCCACAGTCTTTCCCTCCACAAGGGGAAAAGAAAAAAGAAGAAAGAAATCCAACACAAAACTCCCCAGCCCAATCTTAAACACTAGGCATCAGATAAAGAATAGGGGGTGGTGGGAGACACTGGTGATTGGGTTCCACTGAAAGGGGCTCCAGTCCAGCTCTGGGGGCAGACGGCTCCCCTCCACCACATCTTGTTCTCATTCTGCACCCCTGACATCAGCCGCCGCCGAGAAATCTCCTTGTTGTGCCTCCAACCCGCGGGCTGGGGGGGGGGGGGGGACGGCTTGAGGGAATAAGACCTGGTCCATGCCCCCCCCCATCTCCCTCTGGGTCAGTTAAAAAAAAAAACCCTCAGCTTTGAGGACCAGGTTAGGGGGATGGACCCTAGAATCCGCCGCAAACTTTGGGGCGGGGGCAGGAGGAAAACCCAGGAGATTGCGGTCTCCCCTCCTCCGTCCCCGCAGCTTCCTCCCCACCCCTGCCCCCAAAACTCGGAAACCAAACCCAGCTCGCTAACCAGCGTCGGGGCGGCCGGGCGGGCTGCCGGACAGAGTAGAATGCCCAAGCTCCCGAAGCTTCCCACATCTGGAGGATGACGACCCTCCTCTAGCCACATCTGGAAAGCATCCAACTGCCAGCCAGTGGGTCACGTCTCTTTAAAAAAAAAAAAATCCGATCTGTGTTTCCCCACCTCCCCACCCCCCCTATCCCACCCCCAGGATTAAGGTGTGTGTACGGGGACAGAGCTTCCCGGGGTACCCAGCAGACCTGCTCACCTCTCGCTTCCACTCCGACGCCCCCTCCCCTGCTAAGCATACACCCCCCCCCATACACACCCCGTCTCAACTGTCCGCCCTCTAAGCTCACTTCGACTCACCTGGCTTTTTGGTCCCCTCTGGAAACGTGGCCCGCCCCCCCTCCCCGCGTTCCCCCCACCCCCTGCAGACCCCGAAAAGCCCGGCCGGCCGGTCGTGCCCTCGAAGGATATGGGTTACAGACCGTGCGGAGACACCAGCTCCGCGGGCGGCTGTCCTGGCTCAAGTAGAAGAAAACCACCGGGGCCAGCGCCGGGTACGGCAGCCCCTCCGCCTCGGAGTCCGCGCTGCCCGGGTCCTTTTCCGCCGACCCCGGCTCCGGCCGGCCCCCGGCCCCAGACAGGTCGTTAAGCTGCATGAAGCTCCGGGGCTGTCCCGACTCCTCGGTGCCCGCTCCATCCTCCTCCTCGTCCATTCTCTGGCCAGCCGGGGCCCCGGGGTTCCGGAGAGGGGCGAGCGGCCCCCCTCAGAGGAGGTGTCCTCACGCAACCGGGGGACCCCGGCGGGGGCACATCTGGGGGGCTCTAGGGCTCTGGCTGAGCCCCCGGGAGGGCCAGTTCAGCCCAGCTCCCCCTGCCCGCAGGGGCATGCTGCCCGCGGGGCGCCGGATCGTAGGGAAGCCCCGCCTGGCGCGGGTCCCGCTGCTTCCCCTGGGCCCCCGGGGTCCCCCGGGCCAGCCGGCTGGCTCCCCCTCACTTTGTTCCGGCTTCTTCGCTTCGCGCCCTGCCTCCGGCTGCTGCCGGAATCGGCGCTACCTTCGGCGAAGCGTCCCCCAGAAAGGGGAGAGACAAGGGGGAGGCACCCGGTGGAGGACAGGGGTCCGGGGAGGGGCGCCCCCTCTTCCCGCGGCGCAGCTGGAGCAGGATCTAAGGGGTCAGCATCGTCCCGGCTCCGCGCCAGCGGCGGCGGGGGGAGGGGAGGAGGGATCTTTGGGGGCAGGTTTGGAGGGGGTGGGGGGCGGCTCCTTCCTCCGCCCCGCGGCGGGCTCACGGTCCGGGAGGGGCGGGGAGACCGTGGGGGGCCGTCCCAGGCGGGGGTGGGGGCGGAGATGCCGCCGCTGCCGCCGCCGCCGCCGCCGCCGCGGTGGCTGCCGTTGCCGTAGCTGTCGCCGGCGCCACTGCCTCCTCCTCAGGCCGAGACGCGGAGCGAGCGAGCGAAAGCGGCGGCTGGGAGCCCGGCGCACACCACAGCTGGATCCCTCACTCCAACTTCAAGCCTCGGCCCCGCCTCTCCCCAGCCAACCCGGCAGCCAATCGCCGCGCGCCGCCGGCCCCGAGCCGCACGCCCATTGGCCGGCCGCCGTGGCAGTGCGGGCGGGGACGCGGAGGGAGAGAACCACAGCTGGAATCCGGTTCCCACCCCAAATCTCAGGACCGCCTCTCTCCCCCTCCTCTTGCCCCTGGGTCCGCTCCTGAAGGCTGGATCCAATCAGACATCAACCCAGGCCGAACCCACTTTTCTATTGGCCACTGGGGTCTTTGGGACTCCCCTGGAGGGAGCCTCGGGGAATCAAAGCGTATTTGGCGCCAGGTCCTAGGGTAATGCAGCAAGCTCCGGGCATCCTTTGTCCAGGACCCCCCGAACTGGACTCCAGCCAGAGGGCGGAGCTCGGCTCTGGACGGGGGTTGGAGAAGAAGGAAGGCGGGAGGTACAGGAACGAGGGGTGCCACCAGGGTTCCAAAGAGAAATCCGGCTGGGTATTTGGTCAATCGCAAACCTTATACCTGAATCTGGGAACCTGTCCCGGGGAAACCGGAGAAGCAGAGCTGGAGGGTGCCGAGGGTGGGGCCTCGGGCAGGAGGGGGCGGATCGTGGAGGGGGGGGACAGAGGTGGGTGTGGTCTCTACGTGGCCTTCACGCCCGGACCCCTCTCCCAGAGCTGGCTGGGGGTGCTCTGAGGCCCCCTTCCGATACTTTGGCCCTGACCTCCTAACCGTAACCCACAGACCCAGACCTCACGCGGAAGCTCAGAGCTTCACCCTCGGTCCCTAAGGATCCTTTGAAGGGTGCGGCTTTCCTTCAGGGGCTTGGAGCTTGAACCTCACAGGCAGGTAACAGCTGAGCCTCAAAACGAGAACCCCCCCACCCCAGCGAAAAGACCTTTGGGCCTCGAATGTGTAGGAGAGGATGAACACATCAGGCTTTACCAGTGTCTCCTGCAAAGCCCGCCCCAACCCCTAACTCCGTGCCTCAGTTTCTCCATCTGGCAGCAGTCCCAGTATGATGTGGGGGAAGTCTGTCTTGACAGACAGGAGCTTCGATGGACTGCTCTCCTCACCTCCGCTCTGCCCAGAGTGGGTGCTCGCGGTTCTAGGCTTTCCACGGGAACACACACACACACACACACACACACACACACACACGCAGATCCCGGACTTCGCCCCGCCTCTCCTCCGCGGCAGTACTAAGTCTCAGCTTTAGCTCCCTGCCTCCCCGGGCGGGGCGGGGTGGGGGGGTAGGAAGGGGGGGGTATTCAAGAACGCAGAGCCCCAGTAGTACTGGACGCGTGGAGGAGGGGGAGGGATTCGACTTCCCCAGCCTCTGCGTGGGCATCCACGGCGAATCCGCCTGGGGCCGTCCTTCTCCCCGGAGATGGAGGGGGGGGGGGGCGGCGGCAGCGGCTCATGCCTCTGCGGAGATGCTGAGGGGTGGACCGGATGGCCTCCAGCATCCACTGATTCTCGGGCGGGCGTTCTGTGTGCTCGCAAAGCTGTGCCACCCACGCAGCCCCCGCAGGCTTCCGGCCAGAGCGTGGGTGTGCGTATGGGGTCGTCTTAGCTCCCTCTAGGGCCTGTTGCGGGGTTGGGGGAGGGTGAGCAGCGGGGGGAGGAGGGCAGAGCGGCTGCAGCGCCTAAGCCTCCCTGGTTGCCCTTTTGCCAAATCCGGGCACTGAGTTGTGCAAATGAGGCCGTACTTATTTGCATTTCATGCTAATGAGCACATCCCTTAAGTGCCTGTTTCTCCTGGCGGGAGTCTGTGCTCTCATTCTGACTGTGCCTGTGTGGCGCCTGTCTTGAACTCAGGGCCCTTCCGGGAGAGAGGGGCTATTTATGGTTGTCTTGGTCTGACACCTCCTTCCCTCCCTGCATGTCCGCAGTCTGGTGGTTTGGCTTGCCCTTCTGGTCAGGATCAACAAGCCCCAGGGCTGGCACGGAGAGGTGAGGATTCTCCTCTCCTAGTCTTTGCAGAGGGGGAAATGAGGCCAGAGACTTGCTAGTCTAATAGCCAGATTGTCTGGTGCCCCACGTCTTCCTGTATTACTCAGGCCATTCCCCCGGTTCATGGGCTTCCCTGTTACAGAATATATCCAGAAAAGAGGCATGCAACACCTAGATAAATGAAGATATACCTCCCTAGGTTTGTGGCCTAGGGTAAAACTTGCCCCTTGAAACTTGGCACTGTAGTCTGGCACCAGAGGACTTTGATATCTGAGCAGAGATGCCCACCATTTCCTGAGTGAGGTAGGGAAGAAAGCAAGCAAAGGAAAGCCAGAAGCCATCTTTAACTCCAGCCCTCTATAGCTTAGCTCTGACTGACATCACCTCCTCAGACTGGCTTTCTTTCCAGTATGACTTTTAGTGCCTATTAAGGGGGTGAGAGGTGCTGAGGGTATAGTATGAACCAGACAAAAAAGTATGAATAGTACCTAGTAATACAGTATTCATACTCATAGTACTAGCCTGGGCTGGGATGCTAGGCTTATGTCTGTAGTAATGAGATCATTGCCTCAGCCTCTAGGCTGTGTTCCCCAGACCAGGGCCTACCATAGTGTTTGGCATCTAGGAGAGGAACGAGAAGTTCCTATCTTTGGGCCTCAGTTTTCCAACTAACTTAAGCTGATATGTTTTCTAAGGTCTCTTCTGGGTTTGAAGGAGAACCTCCACAAGTGCGCCATGCTCAGCTAGCCCCTTCAACCCTCCTGCAGCCCTCTGGCTCCCTGGAGAGCTGAAAGAACAGCCATCTGTGATGTGCTTTGTTCATTATCTCGTTTGGTTTCTCAGCAGCCCCGATTGCTGGTGGTTCATGCCTGTAATCCTAGCTACTCATGAGGCTGAAATCTGAGGATTGAGGTTCAAAGACAGCCTGGGGCTATTTTCCAATTAACCAGCAAGACAGAAGTAGAGCTATGGCTCAAGTGATAGTGCAGTAGCTTTGAGTGAAAAAGCTAAGGACAGTGCTTAGGCCCTGAGTTAGTATAGCCCCAGTATAAGCATGCATACACACGCGCACGCACACACACACACACACACACACACACACAGCTGAGTGGGTGGCTCCTCATTTCTCAGAAGTTGAAGTTCAGAGAGATTAAATGACTTAAGTGACTACCCAAACCAAAAGGTCACATTGTCCCAGGACCCTGACCCACAAATGCCTTAGGACAGTCCTACTGGTAAGAGAAAACACACCAGGCCAAGGAGAAGGGGTGACATGGAACTTTCTTTTTTTTTGGTCGGTCGTGGGTCTTGAACTCTGGGCCTGGGCCCTGTCCCTCAGTTCTTCAGCTCAAGGCAAGTGCTCTACCACTTGAGCCACAGCGCCACTTCGTCTTCTGGTGGTATATTGAAGATAAGAGTTTCACGAATGTTCCTGCCTGGGCTGCCTTTGAACTGCGATCCTCAGATCTCAGCCTCCTTGAGTTCAGCTAGGATTATAGGTGTGAGCCACCGGCACCCGGCTAACACAGAATTTTCAAATCCCACATTTAGCAATGGTCATGTTTAATCTTACTCTCTTTGGGAAATCTTCCCTTTCTGGGTGAACTAACACTTTTAAGCCCTAACATCCTGCTCTGAACCCATTTTCAGGATGCCACTACAGAAAAAAGACAGGAGGGAGAAGACCCCAAATGCACCTTTCTTTACAGCCATGTCTCAATGTCCTGGGAAATGGGAAAAATTCAATGGCTTTTCTCATACCCTTGAAGAGCCTAGGGTGAACTCTCTATGGTCAAGTCTCAGAGGCCAGACGCTTAACCTCTCTGGACCTCCAATACCTATCCATAGAAGGCTGAAAGTACCTACCTCACTATCTCATCCAAAAAAGGTCAGTAAGGCAACAGTGGCTGTGCAAACTGCCCAGACTATTCCAAAGCCAGGGCATGGGCTGCCAAAAAGGCCACCTGTGCCTTACCATACTGCCCCCCTTCCCTGCTGCCCCCAGGCCACGTGTCCAGCCTTTGACTTCCTGGCAAAGTTGAGTGGGCTCCAGCAAGGAGGGCCAACTGACCTTGTTGGCTGGTGTGCTAATCCCCTCCAGATGGGCTGGTGGCTTGCAATGAGGGCCTGCTGCCCAATATGGACTATGGTCCTGGTAACCATGTGTGGCTGCGTGTGACCCTGTGCAGGGAGTGACCACATCCAGCCTCTTCTTGCTTTGCTCCTCCCCACTGTTGACATTCCTAGCAGTGGTTCCATTCAGGACTCCTTGTCCCTAGTGACTCTTTTGGGGGTCTATCTGTGTTGCTAGGCTAGGAGGATGCTCAGGCTTGGCAGACCCCAGAGCAGCAGGCCCTCCCACCAGCCAGCGCTATCCTGCTACACCTGCCAATCCCAAAGCAGGCCTCTTAGCCTCCTCCCCTACTTGGGGGAAGGAGGGGGGGGTAGGTTCCTGGAGCCTGTAAAGATGTGTGTGCCAAGGACAGGACTTAAGAACATCTCCCAGCATCAAAGGGGCAGAAGGTCACACGAAGGTGCCAGCTTCCTCGCAGGGAGGACTGAGAGATTTGGGGAAATATTTCCAACACAACAGATGCCTCAAGCGAAAGAGAATTCTTTCCCAGACCAGCATGAAGCAGGCAATGAGTGACAAATACGACCTCGTGCTTGCCTCCCTCCTGATGACGGGTGAAGGGCGGGGGGGGGGGGGGGGGGGGGGCGGAGCTGGATGGTAACCACAGCCCCCACAGTGAACAGGACACATGCAAATGTCACCATTCTGTGAAATATAAAAGCTCATATAAAGTATCCTCTATCACTTCCTGAGCTCCAAACAAC